ATAGTGACATATGTCAAAACATTTTAAAATATTTTCTGAACACTGGTTTTTAGGGTGGTAGTAATCTTTGTCAATGTTCTATATTTTATGTCGATTTAAACTTTTTTTTATCAATTACTTTTATCGTGAGAAACCTTATCAAATATCTTGCCCCCCTTTTACATTTTTCAATCGAGATTTATGTTTTGTCATATTTTCCTGACAAACTCACTTTTTCTCTCTCTCTCTCTCTCTCTCTCTCTCTCGCTCTCTCGCTCTCTCTCTCTCTTTCTCTTTTTCATTTTTATTGGTGCTTATTACTTCCCATCGGAGTTGATTTCCTTTAACAGACTGTATCCTATATAGAAATTGATAGAAAAAGAAGTAATAGGAAAAAATATAAATAAATTCTTTCAATAATAATAGTTACAATCAAGTTTTCATTCAATGATTCAGACAGCAGCATGTCAAATAGATAATAAAACGTAATAAATAACTCTGATAAAAATTAAAATACAATGAGAGAGCGAAGAGAGGTGTGTCACCTGATAATTTCATTTAACTATATTCTTTAATAAAAACCAATTTCAAAAAATAACAAAAGTATTTTAATTTTAAAAAACATTCTTTTTTATAACCATATGTCCTTTGGAGTACGATTTAATAGTGCTATTATTGTTGTTGTTTTCTTGAAAAGTATAAAATTCTAAGAAAAATTCTCTAAATAACTGTGATTTTTTTTTTTTTCTAAATAAGTAAATTTTTTCTTACGATATGACGTGGGAAGTCCAACTGGGAAGCATTGACAAAGGAAAAAATACCGTCTCATATATCCCTAAAGATTTGTTTGAATAGAGAACATTAGAAATATGTTATTTTTTCATAAATAAGTAGTAGTCTGGTATGATAGGTAAACTTGACGTTGTCATTAAACATTTAGTGTATCTGTAATTAATGAGATACTTTTTTTAACCTATAAAAGACAAGTAATTATCTTCGTTCTGTTATAAACTCCTATTTCTTCTTGTTTGTCGAAATAAATCTAAGAATGAAAGTAAACATTTCGAAAACAAAGAAAAAAAAATAGTTTCCTCAATATTCATAGTACATTGATATTTACTTTAAAAGATAATTTTCAGAAAACTGATCTAGAAATTAGAAACAAAAATAACCTTCGCTCTTATATTTCTTTTCTTTTCTTTTTTCTTTTTTTTCTTTTTTTGCTTTTATATATTATTAGAATAAAAAGTTGATTAAAGTAAAAAAATAATATTATATAATATAAATTAAAATAAAAATATATAAGACAAACTATATCAATGCCCTTATAATTATGAAAATATTATCTATCTTAATGAAGTATGCGCCTCATCCTAATACACAATGATTATGTCGATGATAAGAATTTAAATAAATTACTAAATTGAAAAATCGAGAAAAAAAATTTATTATTTATTTTTTAGAAATAGAGAATATATTTTATAATAATGACTTTATAATTAATTTGTCTATAAATTAATCTTCAAATATATTTTTACTTTTTTACTTTTCTTCATTAGTCATCAATCATTCTAATGAATCCCGTTTATATAGATTATTTTTTTTCTTCTTCTTCTTCCTTTCCTCATCGTCTATAAAAAAAATACTTAAAAAGTACTCTATGTAATTGACAACAAGCTACTGTCATGTGTTTATATTGCACTTGTTATTAAGATTTCTCAAATAAACCTAATTGCTATTATATTCCCCATGTAATATATTGGTATTTTTTATACATATTTTCAAAAAGAAACTAAGAGAAAAAGAGAATTGCCGAATATACTAATCGAAAATAGATCGACATACGACTCTTCTATCCTAAATATGAGTATAACAACTTTCTTTTCTTCTTTCTTTTTTTGTCTTTTCTCTTTCTTCTTTCGAACCATAATGAGTTAGTCATTTTTTATTTTTTTTCGATTATATTTTATAAAAAAAAAAGAAAAAAGAAGTTCTTAAGAGATAATTCTGATTTTAATAGAAACTAATATGAAAACATTTAGGATTAATTTCGTATTATTCAAAATAGATCGGCGATTTTAATAATGTGATAGTCGAGAAGAAATATTAAAAAAAAGAAAGAAAAAGAAATGAACAGTGGTATGATGTTCGCTCTCTCTTAAAATCAAACAAACTAGACACAAATTTAAATCTAAGATCGTCAATTTTCTTCTCGAAATAAATAGTTGACATTCTAATAGACAAACTACTCGTCAACTTGATGATAAATACTTAGACATATGAAAGTATGAACTTTAATTTTAGATTTTAATTTTTCCCAATGAATATATTGAAATGTTTTTATACTATGATTTAGTAGACAAAAGAATGTTGTATTATCATTCAAAGAAAATTATGTTTTATAATTATCTACATTGAACCTATCTATTTTTAATTTATGCATTTATCATATTTGATGAAAAATTAATTTTAAAACATTTTAAATGATAATCGGACTTTTTATTTTTAAAAAAAATTTTCTCTTTTATATATGGAATGACTAAATTACTTTTATCATATGAAATTTTTTCTTTTTTTTTTGTTTTCTAGGATATTTCAAAAACATCCCGACATTAAAGCTTTATGGCAAACACATCGTGCTACGAATAATGCACCAACAACTACCATGAATAATGACGATGATGGTCAACCAAAATCAGAAAATCGTTGGAAAATGGATTTAAGAAATCATGGTAGTAAATTCTTCATATCAATAGAAGAACTTATTACTCATATAGACAATCCAGAAGATTTATTTCGACATTTGGAACAAATTGGTGCTAGACACAAAACATATGGCGTCAAAAATGAACATATTCAAGTAAGTTAAATATTTCGTCAAGAAGAAAAGTTTCATTGATAATAGAAAATATGACTATGGCTGTAAGCAGATTTTCTTCTTCTTCTTCTTCTTTTTTTTTTTTACTTCTTTCCGAAAGCATTTTTTTTACAGCAATATACTTGCTGCTGTTAAGTATATTGTATGAATGAATGTAATGTTAACATAATAAGATTCATTATGTCGCTTTTTCTCTTCACAAAATCTTAATTAATGAAAATAGAATAGATAAAATTTCACATTTCAAATATCGTGTATATTCACATTCCTTCCTTCTTCTTCTTTCAGGCAATTGTAGACGGATTTAATCACACCATGGAATTTGGATTAAAAGATAAATGGACTGACAATCGTCAGAAAGCGTTTGGTCGCCTAATAAATATAATCGTTGCAAGAATAAATAGATCGATCGATGGCAAAACCGATGATAAATAATCATCAAAATATATATATTATTTCATAATTTTTTGAAAATAATCCGTCCGTCATCTACGTATGATAAAAAAAAAAAGAAAATATTTGTAAAAGGTAATCGTGAAACATTTTAAAATAGACGTTTTTCCCATTTATAAATAATAACAGCAACCAAATTTCATAATCGGTAAGGTAAGAACAATTTAATATTAAAATATATATATATTAGCCGGTGAAAGCAACTATCCTCTCTCTTATCTTTGTGTTTATGTTCTCGAAGTCCCGCTGGCGGGTGTTTATACAGACATTTCAAATTTTAGTGAATAAACTCTTCTTCTTTTTTTTAATTTGTGCAATTCCTCAAAGACATTCACGTTTTATTTTAGTGCCTTTTTGGTATATTATTCTCATTTTCTCTCTTTCTATTTTGTTTTCTTTTTTTTAACACTAATTATGCATTCATTTCATTGTCGTTTTGTCTATGTTTCTTTATTATTTACAAGAATATGACAGTAAAAAAAGAAAAAACACAAAATATTTAAGCAACATAAATCATCTTACCGTAAAATATAAATGAATCAAAATTAGCAACAAAGGTGGATGAATACATAGTTTTTCGAGAATTAATAAATGTATGCAAGTGAAAAAAGACAAACAAAATTAATATCTAAATTAGTGACAGAGTATTCAAAATATATAATTCAAATTGACGTACTCAACTATTTCTGTACAATATTTCCGAGAAGCAGAACTATTGTCAAAATGGTACTTGATTTTGTACTCAGTTATATTCAATATTCACGATGATTTTAGAAAGTGTAAGATACTAGATTCTAACAGAAAATCTGTTAGTGCTTAATAATTATAAAAGATTTTCTTCGTTATGTGAAAAAGAAAGATGTTTTGTTTTTTTTCACTTTCACTTTGTCTATTGTATACACTAGAGAACAATTGTTTTAGTTGTCATTGTTACTTTCATCATCAATAGGTAGTTAAACAAGACGTTATTTTTCCCGTTTCTAGATTGTTAATAAAATTGTAACTTATAAACTTGCATAGTTAGAGCGGAACATTAAGCTAATAGTTTCAATATGGATGTGTGAAAATTAACGTTTTATTTTCATCTACTAATTTCAAGATGATAGAAATAGACGCGTACTTCTGAGATGGAAACAAGTACCATATGACTAAGAATAAAATTCTTGAACTGATTTAAAAAATAAATAAATTATTGCACACCTAGTGTGTTCTATCAGATCACTAATACGTTGAAACAATCCATTTTTTCTTTTTAAAGATTCACAATGTGTAATATAACAAATCAATGAAGTCAGAAAATTTTTCCATCAGCACAACAAAAAACAAAATATTTACATCAATACTTAACAATTATTACATATATTATGATCAACAACGATCATACAGTAAGAACAAGAGAAAGAGAGAGAGACAAAAAAAAAAGAAATCAGTCCTGCTGTTTACCACAAATTGGCTAATAATTTTTTAGTTTTTAATCCAACAATAAACTATTGTAAGCATTCTAAAATAAGAAAACAAACAAAACTTTACACACGATGGATAGAATTTATGTTTAAAGTGAATCAAATGGTTAATTGCAATCGATAGGAGATGAAATATCTGATATTTACTGCATCAAATAATAACCAAGAGCATTCTTTAACATTTGATCTGTGACAATAATTGTCAATATTTAATATAAAACGTTACTCTATACTTCATTATGATCTTTATCCCTGACTAAATCAATTGATGAAAAATGTCCTAACTGATGAAATTAAAATAACTAATGACCAAAGGGAAAGATACGCTTATAATAGTTGGATAATACACATTGTGCAGCAGACATAACAATGATAAATTAATTAAAAAAAAGTGTGTATAGTTGGAAAATGATTTGGAGAAAAGCCTGAATACTTTTGGATTGCTCATCAACGAAAACAACAGCTGCCTAGATTTAAAAAGATATAAGCTATAAGACTAGTTGCAAACAAAATGAAGGATTTTACTTTCGATAAATAATAAATGACAGATTGAAAATTTTCAAGTATATAGTAGTGTGAGAAACAAAGCGTCATATAATATAATATAATTATCACATCAATATCATCTATTGCATTTTGAATCATCATTAGACTATAGATCATAATGATAACAACAGTTGTTCGCAGCTGTCGATTAGAGGCAATATCAATGAAATCATGCTGCGGATTTGTCATTGTTCTATACTTACTTTATTGAATATTAGCAATATTAAATGTTTTTTGTACTGTATTAGTTTTCTTTATTAGACTTCTAAATAAGATAAAAAATATTTTTCTTGTCAATATTGTATATGATTCTTTTTTTCGCATGCCTACCTTGTCTATAATTGATTTATTTGGACTGACATTTTTATTTGATAAAAACATTTGAAATCGTTGTCTCCATGGACTACGATTAGCACTTTTCTCCTCATCATTTTTAACTTTTGGTGTAATATCATTCAACTAGACAGAAATATCATTCACAGACTCTAATTCAGTCAAAAAAATTGTTCATTTTACCTGTGTTACTGGTATAGGTTGTTGTTGTTCTTTTTTTCTTGTAGGAGTATGCATTTCAATCCCAGGAACTGAAATAGTCAAATTACTTTGCAAATTATACATGTAGGATTTTGGATTAGGGTGGAGAAGCGGAGAACCTCCTATCCTAAATTCTAACACTGTTCGCCAGATAATTGGAGTTTTGAGCCTGGAAAAAATTTGTCGAATATTTTTCTAAGCATAACAAATATCGCAATTATATTGCAAATATTTGATCTGACAGACTATAAGAGACTGACAGCTATTACCAGTAGCTACTTTA